GTTTTTTTTTTCATTTTTTGTTGTTATAAATGGTTGCATCAGAAAGTGGATGAACATTGTCTCCATTTTTTTGAATCAAACTCATTTTTTTACTTCAGAAGACAAAGCAATGCCTAACAATGTTGTGTTATTAATTTCAAGAAGATGCTCACCTTTTTACATTTGTTCAATGGTCTTGAAGTTAGCTATTTTTGGTAACTTTTTGACTTGAAGAAGTCATTAATTTGCAACATTTCGATACAGGTCAAATATGTTTAGATTTACATTAATTGACTTGCTGAGGTCGTATTTTGTTTTAAAATAAAGGGAGATAACACATGAAACATACACATTAAGACCTCTAAGAGTCAAAAGCAAAATTAGACTTATTTATGTCTGAGCTATGATTTCCCTCGGTTTTAGTTTGTAATCCAGATTTGATTTCGCTTAATTGATTTATGATTATTGAACAGCGGTATACTACTGTTGTCTTTATCTATGACTGTTTATATATTCCCCTTTGCATTAACAAGTTTGTTTTAAACTGCATTTAACACAAAATGACCTTAATCAATAAGCTTTTTTGTGTCTACACAAGTTCCCACTTCGCCTAAGCTAAATACTCACAATCAGAAAATTTACATCTTTAAGGCAAGATAAGGATATATTTCATTGACAGCTAAGGCTAAATGGGAATAAGCCCATGTACTGTGTTGATATACTGTAAATTCAGAAATCATTGCGAGGTTTTTATTAATGCGAATAATGCGACGGGGTGAGTATCACAATAATAAGAACTCGCATTCTGATAGCTGGATTATAGATCTTTATGCAGATTTTTTTGTAATCGCAATAATTTAACTCGCAATTTTGTCTATTCGTGAAAAATTGCAATAATAAATGCATGCAATAATTTCTGAATTTACAGTATTCAGATTATTTTTCAATGACAAAAAACATTTTCCTTCCATTTATAATATCAAATTAACATATACAATTTCATAGAGTTAGTCTCAATCCTTATTTACAAGAGGCTCCCAGGAGCCTGCATCTCTCACCTAGCATTTTTGACAAAAATAAATTGAAACAATGCAATAACATTATTTGGTGAAAATAGGCAGTCAGAAGATCATGACACTATGAGCATTTTTGCCCGTCAGATTTTCTCTATCTACTATGTTTTTCATAATATAAGACAATTAATACATTTACCCCTCTGTTTCATTTTGAGCCATTGCAGCCAAGTTTATTGACTGACCAGGAAAAAATCTTACTTTATAAAAAGATACCCTAAGAACCATTCACATAAAGTTTTGTTAAAATTAGTTCTATTTTTTTCAGAAGTGTCATCAAATTATTTCAGATTAACTGTTTTTTTTTTTTGTATTTTTTTGTATTTTTGCAGTTTACATATTCTACCTATCTATTATATATTTCAGATAAAGGTAGATCCTGTATTTCTGATTATTGTTGCTGTTTACAATTTCTACCTATCTATTAGAGATTTCAAGATAAAAGGTAGATCTTGTATTTCTGATTATTGTTGCTGTTTACAATTTCTACTTTTCTATTTAAGATTTCAAGATAAAACGCAAAAACCCCTAAAATAAGTCAAAATTGCCATTTAAGGAAAAGAACTCCTTACTGTATAATACAACGAATTTGGTCACATAAGCAATTTTGTGGATCTTGTATGGCTGGTCATTTTTGTCTTTCATTTCTTTTATCCGAATTATATAGCTTTTAGATAATAGGCAAAAAAACAAGAACATTAGCCAAAATAGTCATTTAAAGGCAACAACTCCCTCATGAGTCATCTGATAATTTTGAGGAAAATAGGTTGTAGGCAGATTTTGATAGTTTGAGCATTTTTCCCCTGACAGACAATCTCTTTTCATTATGGTAATCAAGATATAAGACAATTAAAGAACTATTGTGAGCACGCTCACATACCCCTACCCCCAAACTGTCACTTGGCAAACAAAGTCTCACCAGTTTCCTATGTTCAAAGACTCAAAGCTCCTACAAAAGTCAACTAATAAAAAAATTTCTTGCAGATATGCCCATCTACATATTATGTCCTACAAAGTTTCATGAAATTTTGTTGTGTGGTTTCAGAGGATTTGTACTGAAAAACTGTTGCAGTTGATATTATGGCCAAAACTCTAAATTCAATCTCAAACTCCTAGAAAAAAAACACTAAATCATAATTTCCTGTCCCTATGCACATCAAGAAAGTATGTCCTTATTATCTACAAAGTTTCATGATATTCTGAAGTGTGGTTTCAGAGGAGTTCCAGTGACAAGAACAGGAGTGATGGACTGATGGAAGGACAGACTGACAGACAGACGTTTCAAAAACTTTGGTGTGTGGGGTACAATCCATTCATTTACCCTTATGTTCCTTTTTAGCTATGGCAGCCAAGTTTGTTGACTGACCAGAGAAAAAAACTACATGGTACACACCCTAAAGACAGTTTATCAAACGTTTTGTTAAATTGGTATTATTGTTTAGAAGAAAATCTCTTCAAAAAAGTATATAACTGACACATAAATTAGTCGAAAATCGTTTATGGCTATCACTCCATTAGGAGTCAAATTGTTTCAGTTGAACATGCATTTTTGAAGATCTTGTCTTTCTGATAAGTGTTGCTGTGAACAGTCTCTATCCATCTATTATAGTTTTCAAGATAAAAGGAAAAAACACTAAAATTGTCTTGTAAGAGCAATAATGCCCTAATCCAATGGTTTCGGTCACATCATTTATTTGCAGATCTTGTATTGCTGATCATTTTTGTCTTTAACAGTTTCTATCTTAAATAATTTTGAGATAATATGAAAAACATGAAAATTAGCCAAAATTGTCTTTTAAGAGCACTAACTCAGGAGTCATCTGATAATTTTGAATAACATAAGAAGTAGGCAAACCATCACATTATGTGCATTTTTGCCTATCTAGGTTTTCTCTATCCAATCCATCATGATTTTCAAGATACCAGTATATAACAATTAATGCCTTTCACCCCTATGTTCTATTTTGGATGTTTGTTAAATGACCATAAATGATAACACAAACTTTATACTAGATAATCCAAGGTTTATTCACCCCAAGTTTAGTTGAAATTGGTTTAGTAGTTTCAGGGAGAGGATCTTTGAAAAAGTTTACGACAGAGGAAGACAGACGCCAAATGAGGGCAAAAGCTGACATGGTCTTTCCGGCCAGATGAGCTAAAAATGGAAGCACATGACACTTTACAGGGCATCAACAATATGCTCTGACATGTATTTCAATGAATACTAAAATAAAATAAAACTGGTAAAAAATAATAAAGTTATAATTTAACAAGTGTATAATATAAAAAAAACAATTTTAAAGGTAATAACCATAACAATAATTAAAACTTTGACTGTGCTTATTGGTAAGGCTTTATTCTTTTACAATTCAGTTTTTCAAAAATGCTTTTCCTAATAACAGTTTGAATTCATCACTACAAACTGATCAACTGGTAAAATATGTAAAAGTTATTTCATTCTGATTAAATTTTCCCACTAATTTTAATGGGAAATGATTAAATACATTTAAACCTGGGAGAGCAATTATAAATGTATTGCTTGGACTAAAACAATAACAGGAAAATTTCTATCTCGTTAAATTGGGGATGTGACGAAATCATGTAATGTGCAGTATCACCAGTCGTGCGAACACAGGGGGTTCAACTGTACTAATAAAATGTCATTATGATAGATATTTTCATATGCAAGTCAATTTGTATTCTTTAAAAGTAGGTGTTCAAAAGTTTTCTAATTTCACAATACATTCAATAGGAATTGGATGGAAAGAATAATTTGTTAACAGTAGATCAATTTATAGAGATGAACTCATACTGCAATTGTGTAAAACATTTTAGCAAATTGGTATAGTGAAATGACAATTTGAAAGCCTTTATAAATATGCACAGTAAAAGTTGTAATAAATATATCTTTGATTTACAGCTCAACTGCATGTATAACAATATGTCATGCACTTACTGTGAATTGATAGTAAGTGTTTCTCTCCACTATTTGCAATTTGTTCAAAATTCTGACTAAATTCTAGTTTGTTTAATCAAATCAAACTTTTTACTGGTCAGAATTTTGACCAAACTGGTGTGAAAGAACCACAGTCAAGTCATCAAATAAAATAAAATTAAAATAAAAAAATAAAAGATTCTTACAATCCCATTTTGAATTCCACTTCATGATTACTATCATGCAACTTATTATTTCTATACATATTTATTGTTATAAGTAATTTTTGAATTGCTACAAAAATGTCAATATTTAATAGTTTTCATACTATTCCTTTTACTAGTAAAATGTGTTATATATTTATTAAAATCATACCCTAGTATGACTTTAATCAACTTATGTTCTTTAAAATATATGTGATATTAATATGTCGTTTCTATGGGAGATAATCGGATATAATCATTTACCCTTTTTGTATGAAATTTTGATTGGACTGTCTTATCTCCCTTAAAAATAATTTAGCAAAAAATATATTTCTGACACTGTCAGAGTATTTAAGATTTTAATATAAATAAATCTCTGTACCATGTAAGGAAAAGTGACATTTCAGAAGAGATAATTCACAATCTGATATTGGACATTTTTAAAGCAATTCAAATATTATTACCTTACCTTTCAAATTACTAATTACAAAGTACCAATAAATATGTATAGGAATTGTAAGCAGCATAATAGTAACCATTAAGTGGAGATCAAATCTAATAATATTGTTAGTATACCTTATTTTTACTTTGCACATTGATGACTTAACTGTGGTTATTCGCAGCAGTTTGGGCAACTTTCTGACTCGTTGAACAGTTTAATTTGATGAAACAAATTGTAATTTTGTCAGAGTTTTGAATGAACTGTAACAGGTGGAGAGATACACTTACCATCAAGTCACTGTAAATGGATTTTACAACAAGTAAAAAATAAGTTACCATCTGCTATACATATAATTTCAAATCGTATATGATGCAGTTAACAATATTCATAAAAATAAGTATAAAAACGTCCACAGATCTTTTTGAATAGACATGGCTGAAATACCTAAAAACAGAAAGAAAAAAAAGATCAATTATTTCTTTAAACTACTGCAAAGAACTTTGACCAATCAGAAATAAGATACTGACAGTAAGTTTCTGTTATTGAAACATAGCAACATACATTTCTCATTTACATGTACCGTACATCATCTTTTATCTTTATTGACAGACAATCAATTGTAAGTTGAACTTCACTTAATGTATTCTTATAATAAACAAGAAGTTGTATGGATTGTCGTGCTAAGCATACCTCTACTCGTAATTCAAAGTATCTGAAGCAGGAAGAAGGTATCTGACAGACCTGAAAAGCTCAACACTTTTGCTAAGCTGCTGTCTAAATATAAAGTTAATATTCTGTTTAATACTTTTTTGGTGAAAAGTTGGTTAATTTAACATATTGATACATTCAAAGTATTGTCAAACAGGAAGTAGATGTCTGACAGATCTGAAAAGTGGTCCCACTTTACAACTCTACACTATCATACTACTGACCAATAAAAGTCACCTGAGAAATGTGTGGCAGAAATAATTGTTGGATGAAAATACAGACGAACAGATGGATAGACAGATGAAACAGATGCATGGACGGACTAAAAAATGAACAGATGGATGGACAGACAAGATGAATGTAATATAGCCCCCACTTTTAAAGTGGGATATCATTATAGAATTGTAGAACACTACTAAGTTGCAAGTTTACAGAAATTTGTCAGATGAACACCTTAACTTAAATCTTAGGGAAATGACGGACCTTTTAAGATTCATTTCAATATAACAAAATCAGTTATGACAACAAAGAGGAACCATTTGTAAACATAAACAACATATTTATTAAGTAAATGTATGAAATACTGGTCTTAGATTCTATCAGGCATATTAATGAACATAATTTTAGCTTATGGTTAAATATATTAATTTTAAAGAACTGACTGTGATGCTTGAGGGAACTTGGTTACCGCTTTTTTATATCAGTAATTTTTTTGCAGGGAAAATATATTTTTCAGGTTGGGTCTTGTCTCATATTTTATTTGTCCAAAAGCTTTTTGTAAAATAATGGTAATCCTCATAGTACATGTATCTGAGAAACGGACTTGAACACAAAAAATTAACCGTAAATGTAGTTCTCCAAATGTCAATTGATATGTTATCATGTCAGTGACATCACCATGATCACAAATGACATCTCTGCCCCGAAGTGTTCAGGTTATATCATTCTATTCCTGTTATAGATAATGCATATTTTAAGGCATTTGAAAAGATTGAAAAATTGGGTCAATATCCACATGCATGCATGTCACATTGAGGAACTCCCAAGTAATGCGTTAACAAAAAATCTCTGTGCAGTGATATTGGATATGTTTCTATCATCATCCTTTAGGACAGACAAAATAGCTGATCTGAAATGTACACCATCTTCTTGCCAATATACATCCTGTACTGTGTTACAATCCTAGATAAAGTCGCAAGGAAAGGCATTACATCGACCACCAAAAGCTATATTTTTATGTAGCCTAGGTGGTCGAGTGGTCTAGGGCACTGGACACAATGCAGGGGACAGTGCAGGGGTCATTGCCACAATGTCACAGAAGCAAGGGTTCTAATCCCGCTTAGGGAAGAACAAAAATTTGCTAATGCAAATTTGAAGGTCTAACATTGTTAGGCTTAATTTGAGACATATTATATATATATATATATATTATGGTGTTAGCCCTGTATAACCACGCGTTATCCGAAGGAGAATGTCTGACATAAAGTTGTCACATATATATATATATATATATATATATATATACAGGGTTTAAGCTAGGATTTTGAGGGCTTTAGTCACTTTTGTGCGAGATGAAAATCAACATTATTTTGGGTAACAGCAAGGGACCATGGATGTATTCATATTACTAACTATACATCTTTGTCAGACTTTGAAGGACTAAGGCATCAATTTACTAGGCAATAATTGCATGATTTGACTGATGTGTCACTAAAATATGAAGATTAGAATATAAGATCTGAAAATCTAGTTCAAAATTATACTGCAATTAGTTTCAGGGGACATTCCTGATCAACAAAAGTTGGGTTCCTTTTTTTAAAACCAGGAATCACAGTATAAATGAACTTGTTGAACTTTATAAGACTATTACACTGCATAATCATTATCCTTATAAACGTTAAAATCGATATTTTAAATTAATTTCTATAAAGTTGGAACCAAGGATTTGTACAAATTCACATGGAACGATTCTAATAACTGTAAATTGTAAATTAATCGAGAATTGATCACGTTTACTTTCGATTTTCAAATGAAATGTAAACGGGAAGTGACAAGTAGATAATAAATTCAGAATGAATCCGGATTCATCTACGGAATGGTTCGTGTTTAAAAGAAGGCAGGAAATTATCATTTTTTTATTTCAATTTGCTTATTAAGAACTATATTTGTCTCTTCATTTATTTTGGCACTAAATTTATTTCGTATTTTACGTTTTAGTGTCTATAGGAATACTTTCACGCATGCGCAGTATATCGTAAAAGAAGCACCTGTTTGACTCTTTGATGATGATGGAAGTTTTTAACGTGAAAACATTTCTGGACGTTTTGAATAAAGTTCTATCTTTTTAATCGAAATTGAACGTTTTATAATATATACAAAGATAACATAAAGACAGAAGAAACAAAGAACAGATCTAAGAGTACTCACAGATACTAAAAGCTAGTTTAAAGCCAATAACAGTTAATAAATCCAGTTTAACAGCACAACAAAAGAACACACTGTAAAATTAATTTATTAGCCCGACTCTAGATCTTCAGATTGGCCAAAGCACAAACAAACAACTAACTTTAAGACAAAAAACACAAAGAATAATCTAAGAGTACTAGGCCATAAAAAAGAAAATGTTTGTTTACCCTAACCCTACCTTCCCAGAAAATAGTTGCCTACAAAATCTTTTATTGTCTTAATGTGAAAAAGTTTTTTTTTAATCAGATAGGCATGAAGACTAATAAACTGTTATTACAGAGATATGTCTCGCCTTTTTGTAATTTTGATTATGCAAATGTTGAAATTAAAATAGCAATACTTTAACATCTTACATAAGTTATGCAAATATTCAAAGTCAATGAACCATGACTGAGGTACATGGCTAAACAATCTCCATGTAAATGAGATGTGCTAATGCTAATACAACAGCATACCAAATACCATTGACTAATTATATAAGTCGTTCCCTTTAAACAAACCTAAACACAAACATAAACTTGTAAACTATGTAAAAGTTTCAAAGTCAATGAACCATGAAGAGGGGACGGGGCTATATAATCTCCATGGAAACGATACTTGCAAATGCCAATAAATTTGCATACCAAATATCATTGACTTAACATTAGCAGTTCATCTTAAACTGATCTAATCACAAACTAATACATATAAACTAAGCAAAAGTTTCAAAGTCAATAGACCATGATTGAGGGGGCGGGGCCAAATATTCTCCATGGAAATGAGATGTACTAATGCTTATACAACTGAATACCAATTAACATTGGCCTACCACTAATGGTTCCCCTTGAACTGACCTAATCACGAACTAATATATGTTAACTTAGCAAAATTTTCAAAGTCAATAGACCATGACTAAGGGGGCGGAGCCAAATAATCTCCATAGAAATGAGATATGCCAATGCTTATACAACTGCATACCAAATATCATTGACCTACCATTAGTGGTTCCCCACAAACTAATACATGTAAAATTAGCAAAAGTTTCAAAGTCAATAGACCATGACTGAGGGGGCAGGGCCAAATAATCTCCATCGAAATGAGATGTGCCAATGCTTATACAACTGCATACCAAATATGATTGATCTACCACTTGTGGTTTACCATAAACTAGACCTAATCACAAACTAATACATTGTTGACACAACCGCCGCCGAAACAGCATACCTATGTCTTGCTTTTTGACTCAAGGCGAGACAAAAACCATCTGACAATTCAATTTGCCTTTGCTGAAAAAAAAAGAATTGCCTACCTACCTACCCACTGTCTCTACCTTTGGGTAGGGTTTGGGCAAACCAAAATATTTTTAAGTGTGGCCCTAGTAATAACTGAAAAAAACATTAGCGAAACCAATTTTACTGCACCAGATGCACATTTCAACAATAGATGTCTCTTATGTGATGCCTGGGGGAGTTCAAAGCCACTAATAAATAAATCTTGTTCTCCACACATCCAACAGATTCAGTGTAAAGACATCATGAACAGTCAACTACATTTAATAAACTGCGTTATCTGGGTCAAAACCATAATTTGGCATATATCATAATGAACATGTGTTAGCTAAGTTTCAATAGGCTGGGACCACATCTTCATGGTAAACTTCCTTAACCAAAACTTTAACCTGATATTGGATAGACTAACAGACATATTAAGGACAGATGGACTGACCAAAGACCAGAAAACATTATACCACTTCTATCATAGATGGCACATAAAAAATCAGAGCATTACCTTCTTTTAAGTACAATCTTACAACTCCATCTGCCATTTGAAAAACATTTGCATCATTCCAGCCATCATCTTATCTATCTTTTCATTCTTTTTTGCATTCTCTGTTTTCAGCTTAAAATTATCATTAACAAGGTGATTTTTTTCTGCCAAAAGCTGAGCTTCCCTTTCTTTTATCTGTTCAATATCTGTACAAAGCTGAGTTTCCTTCCTTTTAAGATGCTCATTTTCTGTAGAAACTTGTGCTTCCTTCCTTCTCAGCTGATCATTTTCTGTAGAAACTTGTGCTACTTTCCTTCTCAGCTGATCATTTTCTGTAGAAACTTGTGCTTCTTTCCTTCTCAGCTGATCATTTTCTGCAGAAACTTGTGCTACTTTCCTTCTCAGCTGATCATTTTCTGTAGAATCTTGTGCTACTTTCCTTCTCAGCTGATCATTTTCTGTAGAAACTTGTGCTTCTTTCCTTCTCAGCTGATCATTTTCTGTAGAAACTTGTGCTTCTTTCCTTCTCAGTTGATCATTTTCTGTAGAAACTTGTGCTTCTTTCCTACACAGCTGATCATTGCATAATGTCAATTTATCATTTAGATTTTTCAATTCATCAACATAAGCATTTCTGGAAAAGCATGCGGTAAATTTTGAAAAGATCTCTTATAACTTTCCGATTCAATTCTTGATTTGGTCAACTCATCTGTCAACTCAGCTGAAAGATAAAACAAAAGACATTTAACTATGATATATTATCAACTGCAACATTAATCATTGTTAATGATGCTTCATCAACTTTTAAATTATTGAAAGTTTGGTAATAAGTAATATCATTTTCAGCAAAACCTTGTAATCTTAATCAAATTATAGGGGAAAAAAGTTACAAGTAATATAAAGTGCATTTTTCTTTAACAATGTTTAAAGACATTATATAGCCACAATTGATATCTTTTTGAGATTTTCACTATGGCAGTGCACCATCATAAAACAGGTCAAGGAGATCCCTGAGAGCTATTTGACCAAAAAGTGCCTAAAATTAATAGCCAAACAGGGCTCACACTACTTCAGAATCATAGGGAGAAGTGACTTCTCTTTTTGAAAATGAGAGGGAGAAGTAGTGAGATTTGAAAGAGAAGTGCTCATTCGCTCGCGGCGCTACAATGTTTGGTTTTTACTATAATACAAAGGGCCATATGTATCTTATATTTTTTTTATATTGTTCAATTTGTACCTGGTATACAATTAAAGTAACAGTTCAAATTCAAAGTTTGTTAATTTTATCATATCTAGTTGCACAATCATATTAGTCCTCTTGTCAGAAAAAAACCAATTAAATATCTGGCAATAATAAAAAAGATTTTTTTTTATATCAAAAAGGAAAAGAAGGTTGTTATATCAATTAAAATTCAATTAAAAAACTACTCTGTTATCATGTTTATGAAATTAAGTATTTCTCATTAAAAAGATATATAAATTTAACAGTTTTATTATACACAGTTAAGCTTGGACATAATATAATTATATTAGTGTAATAGTCCCAGAGTTGAGCAACTTTAATTTATAAATTGAAACAATGCATATACATGGAAATATATACATTAATCAAGTAGATCTAACCAAAAGTATGTTAATGCGTGTGGAATGCGTAATTTTTCCTTTTGGGATCAATTTTCTTCTGTCAGCTGTGCCATTTATGTGTCCGTAGTCATTATCGTAAGAACCCAGATTTCGGTCATAGCAGGTCCGTTTCCTATGAATCCCGACTCCGGTCCGTAGATGTACAATAATTTGCCCAATAATTTCAATGGTGGACGAAGAAAATTTACAAAAATAAACGATGTTTGACACGCGATATTGAAAGGAATATGACGTTTTTAATGCAATATATGGATAACAAATTTACTTCAGGCAAATTTCATCACGTTCTAATGAAGTAACAAACTTATTTTGCCGAAAGTTAGAATGTTTTGATGTACGCTTTCGAGTAACAAGTACCGCCCGGAAGTGATAAAAAAATTGTCATTATGAAAATAACATGCAACCAACTTCAAAATCAATGCTTTAACCTCTTTTTTAAAGAAAATAAAATGTTTATGTCTTTGAATTTCTTTACTTTTAAATGAAAAATTGCTGTTTCATCGACTTGGTAAATATTGAATATTACCGATGACGAAAGCGACTGAAAGCGAGTATCGTGAACAACAGGGTGACTAGATTTCGCTTTTGGCAGTCGGGCAAAGCGAAGTGACGGACAGGAAAGTGACTTTGTTGCCCCTGAGTCGCCTGCTAGCGTGAGCCCTGAGCCAAATTCATCTAAGGTCAAATTTGCCTTAATTATTTGAAACCAAAGTTCCTTATAATTTCTTAAATTATAAAGTGACAATTTAAGAAAGGTTTGTGATAAATCAGGTCAGTACTGAAGTACTGACTACTGAGCTGATGATACCCCCAGGGACGGATAGTCTATCAGCAGTGGCATCTACCAAGTGCTGTAAAAAAAGCTTTATAAATTTCATTCATCCGAAGCGCTTTAATGGATTTACCTCCATCAGGAACGCTAAATGCCAAGAATGTATAAGAGCATGTTCAATAAAAAATCTTCACGAAATTGATTATACAAGTATTTCAGTAATAAAATTTGTTTGACACCAAAACTTATCACTTTTAATATTGCCTTGGCTTTCTGTCACAAGTCATGCAAACATTTGAAGAAATGAAGGGTTTTTTTCTTCATTAAGCATATACAGCAATATTTCAAGTCTCTTAGGTACTGCAAAGAGCAATTTAAAAAAAATATATAATATTTGGTAATAATGTTGGACAACAAAATGTTACATATACATGTCAATTTTCACTCCTCTGTGTTAAAAAATATTTAAAGACAATAATACTAAAATGATTTTGTAAGAAAGCCTGCTTATCAATTACCGGTATAGTGTTTGAACATATCTTACACTAAAATCAGGTCAAGTAAAGCTGTCATGCACTCAGAGTAAAGGACAATACACAATATGTCACACTTTTTGTTACCTAAAACCCTTGACATATGATCCTTGTTAGCTTTATTCCTTAGTGTAAATAAATTACAAGTTCATTCTTTTTTTACACAAAAAAATTTTGTCAGAATAAATGAATATTACATAATGTCTTAAAATTGTATCTTAATATATATGACTGTATATGACTGACAAAAAAACTCAACAAATTTCCATTACTGAATTCTCGCCAATATATACTTATATATATAAAATCCTATTTTAAAAAATCCCTTACCAAAGGATTTCTTGTGGTTTCGCATACCTTCGAACTGTTTTATGAAGTCAAAATATTCATCGAAAGAAGGCTGACCTACAAAAATGAAATACGAGTAATTTAATAAATGTTTATGATTTCACTCTGTACATATATATATATACTGACTACACTGAAAAATAACAACTATATATATATTAATGTTCCTACATAGGCAGATATTGTCCTTTGATATCCAAGCACAAAACTTACAAAATGCATGCTATGTGCTTTATGATATCCAGTTGATATTAAACAAAAGAAATGGAACTCTTTAATAGAGAAGGTAAAAATGGTCAAATTGGTATATTTGAATTGTTACATCTGTTTCTATATGGGCTTTAAAAGTTTAATGAAGGTGCATAATTTAGGATTTTTTGCAGCTTATATAGGTGTGTATAGTTAAATTATAGTATGGAGCTTCAATATATTTGTAAACTTTTGAAATAAAGACAAATTTTCACAAAACAGTCGATTATCATGATTATGATAGGTGCAAATAGATGTGGATCTTTATTGTGCATAAGCATAAATTCTGCTGACAAAAATTCCACAGTACATTACAATACATAAAAGTACATTACATGATGCTTAATAGCTAGTAGATACATTTGTCTTTTGAAATACCACATGTAAGAATCAGGTAATGATGCTATGTGGATAAATTTAATCGGTTTTCAAGAGATAAATTGACAGCGCTTCATCACTACAATGGCTTCCTTTTTCACGATTGAAAAAAATAGGTGGCATAGTGGGGAGATAATTTTGACTAATTCGAAACCTGACTGACAAGTCAACCATTTATATAATCATAGTAGTAACTATGTGATATGGATAATAAAATAACCATTATTTACATAAATGAAAAAATAGCCACCAATCTTAACCTTGTACACCCAGTCAGGACAATGGTCTTAAATATACACAGAAAGGGCTACCTAATTGACTATTTATTTGGTGGTTACCTTTGAATTTAAAAGTATGCATGCATGAGAGCTCAAATAATAAGTAATAGTAAGGCATTTTGGTGTCTGTCCCAAGTCAGGAGCCTCTGGCCCTTTGTTAGTCTTGTATGTTTTTTTAAATTTTAGTTCATTTATATGTTTCAGAGTTTACTGTGACGTCCATTTTCACTGAACTAGTACACATTTTTGATTAGGGGTCAGCTGATGCCCGACTCCGGGTGGGGGATTTTCTCGCTGTGTTGAAGACCCATTGGTGGCCTAGGGCTGTTTTATGCTCTTTTGGTCGGGTTGTTGTCTCTTTGACACATTCCCCATTTCCATTCTCAATTTTATTTTAAAGCTAAATATCTAGCATATTTATTGAGTTTATCACCACCGTTATACTGGTTACTAGGCAACGGAATATATGAGAAAGACCCAAAATGCCACCATTTTCAGAGGGTCTGTGGTATAGAGTTACAATAAGTAACAATATGACAAATTAAATAACATTTGATGGTGGGGTTACAAACAGTTCTTATCGCCCCAGGGTCCTTGTCCTTGGTAAAAACTGTCATTTAAGGACAATAACTCCTATAATCTGTCATCTGACAATTTTGGTCAAACTAGACAATATGTAAATCCTGACATTTTGAACTTTTTTGCCCTGTCAGCATGATCAGATTATCTCTATCTATAACAGTTTTCCAAATAAAAGACCATACTTGCATTTTAACCAAATGTTCCATTTTGAGCCTTGGCAGCCTTGTTGGCTCTCTGGCAGGATCATCAGACACATTTTTTAAATAAGTTACCCCAAGGATGATTGTGGCCAAGTATTGTTAATTGTATTTAGCGATTCAAATGAGAAGATTGTTGTAAAAGTTGATAGAAACTACAATGGAGGATGGACACCAAGTGATGGCAAAACCTTAGGTGAGTTAATAAAAGTCAATTAAGGGTAATAACTCCTGTTAGGAATCATTTAAAGTGTTCAAGATAAAAAGGAAAAATATCAGCCGTAGTCAGGTTCCTTCACAACCAGCTTATCATAAGCCGCTATACATTAAGAGAGTTATATCTACTTCAACTGTTCACCTGCTACTTTTTTTCTACTTAAGACAGCCATTGCAGTAGCGGCAAGCCTTCTTCCTGACATATCTGACCAGCTACAAACAATGACAAAAATTTATAAAAATTTCAGGACAATAACTCCTATAACCATGTATAAGGAGTAAATTCGAGGCTTCCGTCATTTTGACTATTTTGGCATTTTTTTAGATTCTGTTTTGCTGATCATTTTGGCTGTATAAGTCCAAATCACTATATCTTATTAAATTATCTATGTATTTAAAAAAGATTGCCAACAGCAAGAGGCTAAGCGTGGGTTTCCTCATCACCATTTAAGGTCAATAACTCCATCACATGGTTAGTCTTATATTTTTTGATGATTTCCATAGAAACTAACTGTAGAATAATAATATCCTGACATTAACCAGACCAGATTTTAGGCATGTACCGGTATTATAATTTTCAAAATATCAAACAAGTACAAACATTTTACCCTAATTTTCTTTTTTAAGGCATGGCACTGATCATGCTGATGTTAGTTCATAGTATGAAATATAATTCATAAAATATAATTTACACCACATAACGTTCAGTATTATGCAAATTAGTTAAAATCGGTGCAACATTTTTTAGGTAAAGATCTTGAATGATAGTCAACAGATGACAGCAGAGGTTTAGCAATGGTTGTAGCTCATATTGAACTTCATCCTGAGTCAAGAGAACCTACAAAGACTAAGAAATTTTTGTTGATAAAGAAGATAAGGTTGACTACAACCATAAAAGAGGGTCGTAATGGTGGTATCTTCATGTTACATAACAGTAAAAAAATTTGCCAAATAACGTTAAGGGCATACAGTTATAGGGGAGATAATGATGTTGCTAACATAAAATGTTATTTTTTTGTGACATCAAACTGCGACATATCTGGACAAGATGCATTTGTTGAATGATTTTAATCATTAGCTTGAAAACGAGTACATGGGTTTTTCTCATTTTTGAAGGCCGTACGGTTGCCTATAATTGCTTACATCCACTTCATTTGAACTTTGGTGGATAGTTGTCTCATTGGCAATCATACCACATCTCCTTCTTCTTACATGGACCCCTCTTTTTTAAAATGGCATTTGACTAGATACTGTTTCGAGATTATTTGTATCAAATTTTATGAAGAAATCACTGATGATTTTTTTTTAAATCAGATAAATATACAGCAAAAATGCCGTTTTTTCCAAAATTATGCAAATTTAATAAAAATGAATTATTTACAAAGAATTGTTGTACGTACACAATTTAAGAGCCTACGTTTGTAACAAAGATATCCCAAATCTTTTTACAAAAATCCACATGTGTTTATCATTTGAAACAAAAAAGTCAAGTACGTCTGTCCAAAGGATAGAAATGTCTAAGATTTAACTGAAATATTAAGTAAATGTCTAAAATTTCAACCAAATTTATCTCTATTAAAATTGAGCACATGAAGGTATATTTCTTATTACATATTTGAATTGATGAGGTAAAAAATAGCTTGTATGCAAATTTTCATAAAAAAATCACTGTGGGATCAAAACTGTATCGTATATGCCCTTAACAGAAATTTTTGGTGCATGACAATAAAGTGTACATTTTCTTTATGACAATAAAAAAATTGTCTGATTTTGAAGAATCCCGTTAAAATTTCTTTCCAAAAATAACGGTGAGGGATAATTATTTGAGACCTCTGATGAATCACGATAAAATATTAACCAATTTGACATTAACGGTAGCAGAAAATGACTGTTTGATGCCTGACGGTAAAGGGCATTTCTACCTTTATAAAACTGTTAAAAAAGTGATAGGATGAAACTAAATGCTGTACAAGAAGCCATGGGAACAGCAGTTCAAAATTTTGGCCCTTTTAGCTAGAAAATTTTTGACAGAAAGGCTGAAATAAATAACACCTTCAATGTGCAATGATTTGTGCCAATGCAACTGAAATTTCCTAAATGTAAAGTTGCAATTTATAATGCAGACATAAATGAGAGGCACAACTACTATTTTTAATATATTCAGACCATAAACCTTGATGGATACCTTGAATTCTATGCCGTGCAAAGAAAAGATCCTCGTCATGATATCGAGCTTGAAGCCATTGTTTCTTCAATTCCACATCTCCAGTTGGTATCTGTGAAATTCCACTGATAACTGCAAAATCATAACTGTATTTTTATAAGTGTTAATATTATCATTTTGTATATATTCTAAATAACAACAATGATTCGTTCAGAAAGAGTCACATGTTCAACTTTATTTCCACATGTAGACTAAACACATCAGATAGAAAAGAGATATTGCTGAGTTATTTTTAGAATACAACAAGAGTGCACATGCTGAAATGTCTCACCTGTCTTACTTATAATTGATTTTATGTTGAAAGTCTGTAATATGAAGGTTTTACTACAAGTATCACATAAACTAAACATTATCAATGTTCTATGAAAATGACTTTTTGAGGTCGCGGTCAGATGAACAATGCCAGACAGACATGTACACCTTACAATCATTCCATACACCAAATGTAATGGTCCTATTGCTTATAATTTCTGAAATACGGACTTGAGCATGAAACATTAGCTTTCTTATGTTTCGTAATATGCAACTTTGTCACACGCGGGACAAAAATGCAAGTAATAAAGGAGAGGTATAATGGCAGATAATATTAAACCCCTGAAATTTTTAATCTTCTTAAAATACTTCACTAAGATTAAAAAAAATATTAGTTTTATTGATAAATGAATAGTGTTCATTTCAATAATTTTATAAAAGTCAGTGGTCATGACACTATAGCTATTGTGTCATAAACCTATTAAAATAACATACTTGGCAAATAATGGCTGATTATAGGTAGCTTTCAGTAAAGTTGGTTGTGAGCAAAGGTTTTGCCCAAAAAGATATAATGTTACCCACATAAATATCTCTTAAGTACACATCTTGTTGCAACATATATTTTTTGGGGGTAATCCTTGAGTCACATCTAAATGTTAATGGCACAATCTCAAAATGAGACAATTTTAATGGTTTTGCATTTAATAAATTAAGTTTGAGGTACTAACGCAAATATTTAAGACACGATTAAAAATTGCATTCAAAGAGACCAAAAAAAAGGCATATTATAAGTTTTCTGTAAGCATAGTAAGCCTACTACAATAAAACCTGCTGAATCATAGTTGTTCCCTAGATGTTATTGTCTTAGGGTAGTGAAAATGTGGAAAATCTAAATGGCGAATCTTTATGTAAACTATGCATTTTTCTCTATGGAAATAGAAGAACCTTTGCTAATAGAGCTGCATATACAATAACACTGAGCTTCCTGAGAAAGAGATCAAACCATCAAAATCATAATATTGACCAATGAACCATGAAAAGGAGATCATAGTCATATGAACCCTGCCAGACAGACATGTACACCTTACAATCATTCAATTCACCAAATATAGTTGACCTTTTGCTGAAAGTATCTGATAAATTGACAAAATTACGAAAGACTTATCATTGACCTTAATGAACTATGAAAATGAGGTCATGGTCATATGAACCATATCATGCCAGGCAGACATAATAATACACCTCACAATATTCTATAAACTAAATATAATTGACCTATTACTTATAATATAGATCTGAGAACTATACCAAACCACAATAATAAACTGCTTCGCTGAGCGCAGCTGGATATGCCCGCAGAGGTCCAACCCTGAACAGTTGGGGCAAAAATGGACACAATATTCAAGCTTGATACAGGTCTGATTTTGGATTGTAATTAAATATTTGATACATTATAGGACTCTGAATAAATGTAGTCAAAGAACTTGAAATTGGTTATATGAAAGATTTCTTGCTGTTGTGCAATACACTGTGCTGTTGCGCAATACTTTGCAAATCTGTTGTCAGACTATAGACAAATAAAACTCAGAAACATAAAATCGAAAATTTATAAAAATCAAAAGGGAGCTTACAAAAAATAGATATAAACAATTTACCAAAGTTTCATAAAAAAATGCTGATTTGAGTTATTGTCCGAAAACTGGAAAATCTCCCTTTTTGTAATGAATAAAACCCCATAAATCGGAAAAGTATAGTCTGAAATTTATAAAAATCAAAAGGGAGCTCATGTTGATAGAAATAAACAATTCACCAAAGTTTCTTGCAAATTGGTGAAATCGTTTTTGAGTTATTGTCTGAAAACTGGAAATTCCCCCCTTTTTTAATGAATAAAACCCCAAAACTCAGAAATGGTAAATTCGAAATTTATAAAAAACCAAAGGGAGCTCACGTCAATAGATATGAACAATTCACAAAAGTTTCATGCAAATAGGTGAATTTTTTTTTGAGTTATTGTCCGAAAACTGGAAAATCCCCCCTTTTAAAATGAATAAAACCCCAAAACTCAGAAACGGCAAATCCAAAATTTATAAAAAACAAAAGGGAGCTCATGTCAATAGATATGAACAATTCACAAAAGTTTCATGCAAATTGGCGATTTTTTTTATGAGTTATCGTCCGAAGACTGGAAAATCCCCCCTTTTTTAATGAATAAAACCCCAAAACTAGGAAATGGTATATCTGAAATTTATAAAAAACAAAAGGGAGCTCACGTCAATAGATATAAACATTTCACCAAAGTTTCATGCATATTTGTTAAAGCGTTTTTGAATTAATGTCCGACATGTTGACGACGGACGGACAGATGGACAGACGGTCAACGGTATACCATAATACGTCCCGTAAGCGAGCATATAAAAACTAAAAATTGTCCAATGAACCATGAAAATGAGGTCAAGGTCAGTCGAAACCTGCCAGACGGACATGTACACTTGACAATCAGTCCATACACCAAATATAGTGGCCCTTTTTATTATTGTATCTGAGAAATAGACCAAGCCACAAAAAACTAAACATTGTCCAATGAACCATAAAATTGAGGTCAAGGTCAGATGAAACCTGTCAGTCAGACATGTACACCTTACAATATTTCCATACACCAAATATAGTTGACCTATTGCTTATAGTATCTGAGATACA